TCAGTCACTGTCTCTGAGGACTGTCACAGGATATTACAGCTGACTGACCGCTGGGCACGCAGGAGAGGAACACAAACCCTCCCAGTGGGTTTCAATTCTGTGCCTCTACCTCTCAACCCTGACATTCCACTATCCTTTATTTCTTTTCCACCTTGTCTAGAAGATGAAAGAGATGTGTCCACATGAGCACCCAGGTCTTTTCGCCCATGTCCAGCCTGCACCACCCTGCTGGTCTCCAGGTGAAGGCAGGGTTCGCGGTGGTGTGGCCACAGGGCAGGGGGAGGAGGGGAGTTACACTGTGATTGAGCTCTCCACAACCCTGGAGGGAGAGAGAGGGGCTGGAAAAGACTGTGTCCCCCTGCAGACGGAGAGAGAGGGAGAGTGGGATAGACGGACAGAGAGAGCAAGTGGGACAAAGAGACAGAGAGAGGGAGGGGATAGACAGAGGAGAGGGAAACAGAGAAAAGAGATAGGGAGGGAAGAGAATAGACAGAGGAAAGGTGGAGGGAACGTAAAGATGAAGAGGTCAACAGAGATACAGGCAGCGGCTAGCTTGACTTACTCGGCAGAACAACAACAGCTTCTAACCCACACTACAACTTGTACCGCCCCAACGCAGCTGTAAGGCCCCCTGGGAGGGCGTTCCAGTGAGATAGCTTCTGAGCCCCTTGGGTCCTTAGCCTCTGGGGTGTTGACCCCTGAACCCCTGAGGTCCTGAGCCCATGAGCCCCTCAGCCCCTGCAGTCCTGAGCTCCTGAGCCTCTGGGGTGTTGACCCCTGAGACCCTAGGGTCCTGAGCCCCTGAGTCTCTGGGGTCCTGAGCCCCCCAGCCCCGGAGCTCCTGAGTCTCTGGGATGCTGAGCTCCTGAGCCTCTGGGGTCATAAGGCGCTGAGCTCCTGAACTCCATAGCCCCTCAGTGCCTGAACCCCTAAGACTCAGAGCTCCCCCTGCAGCGGTGGCTTGGCATGCCGTCCAGCTCCAGCTCGAACCCCACACTCTCCCAAGCTCCTGTACAATAGTGCGCACTCTGCGTGCTTCCCCTAGCCTGTCCTGCTCCCCTGTGCTCCCCAGATGATTCTGGGGCGCAAGTGTCCGATCAGGCTGCTGTGTACGCTGATGCGTCTCTGTGACGGCCCGAGAGGCTCATGGGGAGAGACTCTCGCCTCCCTGCTGCAGTATCTTCCTTTCACCTCCTTCAGGATAGGAAGGGCTTGAACAGCTACTCAGAGCCCAGCCCAGCCGAGCCGAGCCGCTGGAGTGTATTATAACAACGAGGTTGTTGGAGAGCTTTTCAACAAAGCACTGTGCACTACTGTCCACACGGGACACACAGACACCAATAAGAAAAGGAAATGGAGGAAAAGGCCCAGCAGACTGACGCCGAGGAGCCCCGCCGCACAGAAGGGACAGGTCTGTGTTTTCAGTTGCCACAAGGCGTGAAGCAGCCCGATTCCAGAGACAAGGGCGAGAGGCAGAGGGCTGAAGGACTCGGCAAACTGCCACCCACTTCCTGTGGGGAAGAAGAGCTCCAGCCAGCGGCTGCTACACAGCCCAAGACCCCACTCCTGTCTGCGGGTTTTTAATAACCAGGATCAACAAGAGCTCTGCAAGGTGTCAACTGGCACAGGGCCCAGAGCCTGGCTGTAATATTTAAAACACCCAGGGAGCAGCAAGCTGGTGAGACACACAGCACACTCGTGACTTCACCCCGAGAGCACAGAGCTCCAGTACAGCACACTGACTTCACCCCAAGAGCTCAGAGCTCCGGTACAGCACGCTGACTTCACCCCAAGAGCACAGAGCTCCGGTACAGCAC